AAATACGAGCAGCACCACCCAACCACCCAACCACCCAACCACCCACCACCCACTGGGCCAAGCCCACCGCTCAACGTTCGACATAATTAAAAGCGCGCGCCGTTTACGCAATTAATGAACTCTCGCCAAATTAGGCTGCGGCAGAGCGCAGACAAGCAAAATGGCCAGGATCCCGGGATCCCGGATCCGGGACCCACTGCACGGACCCACATGCACTGCGCGAAAATGTACCTACCTCTACCAAATCAATCAAGCTCCATTTAATTTTATTTGATTAAAAACACAATTCATGAATAATTATTTTTAATATTATTATTGGTAATATTAAGTGGCAGAAATACTTAATACATATATATAAAATATTCAGAAGTAACCTACAACATTATTGGTTTGGATCTTATATAATATTTGTATTCTTAATACGATCTTTAGCGATCCCTAATTAATTAGAAATTTTTCACCATAAAAAAATTTTATTAGACTAAAATCGAATTATAACTTTATGAAAAAACTAAAAAAAACATAAAACTATTATATATTTTGGAATTGTAAAAACAAAACATAATATTAAGTAGCAGAAATACTTAATACATATATATAAAATATTTAGAAGTAACTTACAACATTATTGGTTTGGATCTTATATAATATTTGTATTCTTAATACGATCTTAGCGATTTCCAATTGGTTACAAATTTTTCACCAAAAAAAAAATCTTATAAGACTAAAATCGAATTATAATTTTATGAAAAAATTTTTGACTCTTAGTGTCAGAAAAATGTATTTTTAGAAAACGAGTTAAAATACAACTATTATATATTTTAGAATTGTAAAAAAAAAACATAAAAAAGGTTTTTTTTTAAATTGCCCTGATTTCCTTTCTTAGTTGGAGAAGGAAATAATAGGTGCCTGTGCCCAATTGTCACTAAATTGAAAAAAAAAATATGACCGCATTTTCTCGCTGTGTAGGAACGCACTCATACAGAGACACTGGGCTTGTGGTTTTCGCGGTCGAGGCGGGCGATGGCAAAATGGAGCTGCAAAAACCGCGCCGCTTTTTGCCGCATTGCAGGAGGCGAACCTTTGTTGCACAAAATGTGAGGGGGTGAGTGCAGGGGGGGGGGTCTCGGAAAAGCCAGGGAGATCCCCTTTTTCCGGAAGGGGGAGTGGCCATCAGGGAGCCGCATTAATGGCCGCCAGTAAAACAAGGCGACATCACCTAAGCCTTGTCACCACGTCGCCCTCCACTTTTTGGAAGCATTTGCACCCCAGGCAAACCGCTTAAATTCGAAATTTTGTTTTATTCCATCCACTCCAATATGGCTTTGTTTATAAAACAAAGTCCCTCTGTTAATTTTTGGCTTTTAAAAGCACTCTAAAAAAATTTAACTGATATAAAACGATTGAAAAAGTACAAACAAGTTATATCAATAAAATAATATTTTATCTACTCACACTTTTTTTTTATTGGGAATTTAAATTTATCAATTATTATTTTTGTGATAGTTGTAAATTACGTTTTTTAATTTCGGTTTTAATTACAAATGTAAGCTTTTGATTTTAATATTTTTTATACAATTTCTCAGCACTTTTTCCCCCTTCTAAGCCTGGATTTTTTTGGAGTTTCACATCTACACTTCTCATAAATACAAAACAAAAGTCATGTTTATTTACCACTTGTTCGTTTATTTGTCTTTTTTTAGCTTCCATTTCAATCTTAGCTTACGCATAAAAAATAAACAAAAACGGGTCACTTCAATTCCATTTAATATTTCATCATCTCATTTTTCATACTTACAATTAGGCGAAAAAAAAAATGTGTATTATGACTATATATTATTGTTTTTCTGCTTATGTAGTGTCTTTTTTTACTTCAAATGTACATCAGTTTTACATTGGGTGTATGAAATGGAAAAGAGCATAGTTCAGTGGGAGGGGGGTAGAGGAACAAAACCAAAGGGGATAAGTTAATAAATAGGAAAAAAAATCGTAAAAACAGTAGATATATATGTATATTTGAAATGCCAGGCTAAACAGAACCATTGATTTGTTTAAATTTCCTTTTTATCGGCGGGTGTTTGCGTCGCAGTCGCAATGGAAGTAGTCGTAACCGCAGTCGGCGAAAGTTTCGATCCACTGGATAGATCCAAATCACTGGCACTATTCTGTAAGAAAATATTGAAAAAAAAAAGAACGGAGACCAGAACATAAGTTTGGGTTGCACTTCGGCTGCAAGGGGTTAATATGCCTGCGTCTCCTTCTCGCATTTGCACAATTCACTCTTTAATACATTCTATTATTTTTATTATTTTGTTGCCTTTGCAATACTAACAAAATACTTGAAGCGAACACATTTGTTTATGGCAGATAAATTGCTATTCATTTGGCAACAAGGCAAAAGTCAAGAGTTGCGCAATTATATTTAGCTACCTTCAAACTTTTAATACATGATATTTAATAGCAGGTGAAATGGTTATAAATGCCAAACCCATATTTAAACCTCGCTAAGCGGCCTAAAAAATATACAAACTAAATATAAACAATTCGAATTTTGAAATATGAACTGCGTTTGAGTTTCAATGTGCTTCAGTCTTTTGTTTTACTGAATAGGTCTTCGTTTGATTTTCCACAATACTGATTTTTCCGGCTAAAAGAGCTCCCTCAACAGGCTGGGAAGGGGAAACAGGCTGACAAAGCTCCAGTCGCCGCGACCGCTCACCTTCATCTCCTTGCGCAGCTTCATCGACTTGCCCATGCTCTGGAGGCGGTACCGCTCCTTGGCCCGCTCGCGGATCTTCTCGGGCACCACCCACAGCGTGGTGGCCATGTTGCCCACGAAGAGGAGCAGGAACAGTCCGCACATCACGGACACGTGCCACGGCGCATCCGCCGGACTGTAGGCCAACTTGTAGAGCGTCCAGGCGTTGTACGCCTGGAAGCCATAGCCGATGAACAGGAAGGGCAGCAGGAAGCTCAGGCCGCGCCACATCCACGAGTGGAAGCCCTCGATGGTGATGTCCATGTTGTGCCGCTCCCCGAGGGCCTTCAGTCGGTAGAGCAGGCCCTTCTGGTAGCCGAACTGCAGATACTGCACGATGCCTGCAATCGAAAGGGCGGGATTTCCACCAATTACTCGTTGTGAACTCAAAATAAAGGGATTTTTATGTATCTGATTATAAAAATAATTGTATATATAACAATTAGTTAATTTTAGAATTTAAGAAAATAATCTATATCATCAAAAATTGTACTACCTATTCCTACAATCGTTTTAAAATACATAGTTCACTATAAAGCAGGCTTCTCTTTTCTCTTAAAAAATGGAACAAAAAGACCACCCTTAACTTAAGAAGCACCACAAGTATACCATCATATTAAAGACAATCCTTAACCCGAGAAGTACTACAAATAGAAATAAGCAATATCATCCAAAGTTATACTATTTTTATAGAAATAAGCAATATCATCCAAGGTTATAATACATATTCTTAACATTGCTTTAAAATACATAGTTTACTATAAAGCAGGCTTCTCTTTCCTCTTAAAAAATGGAACAAAAGAACTACCCTTAAATTTAGAAGCACCACAAGTATACCATCATATTAAAGACAATCCGCAACCCGAGAAGTACTACAAATAGTCCAATAAGAAGGCGGAATAACTCACTGATGTAGACGTTGAAGTACATGAACTGCATCCGGAAGATCTGCCAGTGCTCGCCCTGGGGCCAAACCAAAAGTACACCGGCGGCCACCGTGGAGATGAAGTGGTGGGCCCGCCACCAGCCCTTGATCCTCGATCCGTTCACCTTCAAGATGGACTCACGGATGGTCAGGGTGCAGTAGTACCAGACCAGCAGGAATATGAAGGCCAGCTCCAGGGCCCTGGGGGAAACGACGAAATAAAGAGGGGGAAACTCAAATAAAGTGGGGATTGCTTGGGGTAGCCACTTACCTGTAGTTGAATATCAAATTGAAGAAGGCCATTATCAGTCCAATTACGTTGAGTATTAATTTAAACTTTTCATAGTCATCTTTATAGCGAACTTTGTCGTTTCTGTTCAGAATCGAGACATTCACATCGCCCAGGATTATCTGCAAAAGGAATGCGGAGGGCAGAGGTCGCAAGTGAATTTCAGTGGGTCAACTTCAAGTCAAGTTGAGTCAACTCGAGTGGAGTGAAGTCCAAGTGAAATACCAGGACCAGGACCACGACCAAGTCTCAAGTCCTGGAGTCCATAACAAGACGCGCAGATTGTCGCGCAGGAAAGAACTTTTTACTTTACTTGTTTTCCGTTTCCACTTCAAGGAAAAGTTCTCATTTTTTATGGCGTGGGCGGACATTTATATGAGGGACTTTGGACTTTGGAACGGGGGACTCACCTGCAAGTAACGTCCGGATTTCGCTGGTAAGGATTGCTCAATTTCGTGCAGTTGCGCCTTGCGCTTCAAGGTCATCTTTTGCAGGTCATCGACCTTTTCCTTGTCCTCCGCCGGAACGGCGAGGCCTTTGAACCTAAAAATGCCATAAAATGGGGTTAGCATTTCACGCTTTGATAAACAAAAATACATTTTTCAATAGCCCATATTCGCTTTTTCTAATATTGTATTGAATACTTAATCAGTTCTTAACATTTATCTTTTTTTGAAATTACTATTTTAGTCCCTAAATTTACTATAAATATCTTATTTAAAACTATCTAAGTGTATACATTCAAAAACATACATTTAAAAAATATTTTGGGTTATTAATATACCAGAACATTATTTGTTTACAATGTATCACTAAATATCTTAAAATTTAAATTATATTAAATCTATGCAAGATAAATGTACAAAATGTTGTAAATACATATATTATTTATAAGATATTACAATAAGATAGAAAGCCGACAATCCAAAACATACCTACTTTAAAAGTCTTTGAACCTAGATAAGATAGGGTATAGTCTTGATTTCATAGTCCAAGTGCAAGTTTACAGAATCATATAAGACTGTAAATTGTAAATAAATATTAAACAATCCAAGACACTTTTAGTAGATTAGATTATTTCTCTAAATTTATTTATTTTGTAACTACTATTTATTTCAAGGTAACAGTACACGCTAAATGTACTATTTATCTATAAATTTAAAACCTTAAACAATCTTTTACACGTGATTTGGATGGGCAAATGTCGACACAGAAGTCGATTAGATAATGTGTATATAACGCACTTAAACTAACATATCAGAGGATACTATTTTTTTTGTTTTTTGTTAGATTCCCATAAATTAACATAAAATAATATTTCGGACTTTGCTCGAATGTGTGTTTATTGTTTTATTGATTGATACACGCTTGATTTTTAGCCATATTTTTGTAATTTATTCGCCTATAATTATTTGTTTATTGCGCGGCAAAAAACGGAAGAGGTGAATATGGGTGGGAATAGTAGAGCAATTTGCAGCGTCAAAGTTCAATTTAGATGCACATAATTGATGGACAAAGTGGGCGGGTTTATGCGGTCAATTAACAGTTACCCTAAACGTGGGTTCCGCTTTCAGTATATGCACATCTATATGGCGCTTCAAAGGTAGATTTATTATGGCACTGGCCCGACTGGCCGGTCATTTATCAGGCCGCCTCTATAGTTCATGTTTTATTTTTAAACACTCCTAATACCCCGTTGAAGCCGATGGATAGATAACGAATCCCAAACCGCTGCGATACGGTATAGTGGTATAATGGAGGTGGCCGTACAAAGTGGTTCGATTAAATTAGTTTCCGCCCCATTTGCTTATGGGAACGCCACTAACCCTTCTTCCACCAATCTCGTCTGGGATGATGACTGGCCAATCTCAGCCAGATTATTTTGTACCAGATAATGGGAAATTTCCATGGCAGAGTCCAAAAACTATGGAAGCACAAACCTTTTTTTTACGATTTCTCGGAAATTAATTCGTAATAGGAAGAGTCCACATTACATAAAATAGATTTTCATTGATTCTCGTTAACTAAATTACCCAAAAGATATCGGTTCTGCAGAGTAAAGATTCTTTTAATTGTTGAGGAGCTAAAATGTTTAATGGTTTTGCATGGAAACTTTCCAATAATATTTTGAACAAGATAACAGGAAATTTTCCTACCCCTGCAATTATTAATATTAAAAATCGTAACAGAATTAAAAATGTCTAGAAAGGCCATAAGTATAAGGTGTAAATACAAAATTTAAAACTTCTTATACATTTTTTTAAAAAGCTAAGCCAGGTTTACAATAGTCCGTCGGAAGTACAGCTAAAAGTCACAACTTAATCATTAAAAAACAATGAGGCTGCAAAGTATTCGAAGAAGCCTCTCTCAAATTCACAGAATCACTAAAACAAAAAACACTTAAAAATGCAAACAAATTAAAAGCTTATTTATGTACACACACCCAACTCTATAATTACAATTAACTGAGATATCTAGTCAACAAAATCGTTACAAAACGAGCTTACCCAACTCTATTTGATCATTAGTGTGCAAACAATATTTTAGTTTTCGGTGGAGCTTGGCAAATGATGACGCTAAATGCAATTGTCTTGTTTGCCATTGTTTGCACTCAAACCTTTTTTGCGACAAACACAAAAAAACAGAATCAAATTCCGTAACTCCGACACCCAGTTTGCATGTCTCAATTAAAATTCATTTGGCTTGGAAAAAAATACGGGAAAGAGAATTAAGCAGAGGAAAAAAACATAACGAATGTAACAGGTTTTCTTTAAAGAAACTGGGAGAAAAAATGGTTAAAGCTAGGAAATGTAATATTAAAAAAGGAAATTTTTAACAACAATTAAAAATATATTTTAAAGTTGATTTGACTAAATTAATCAATAGAAATATTTTATGTTTAGGATATTTATATAAGTAATCCCAAAACAGGTCACCCAACTACTTTTGGAGCGCTAAAGTTTAGGTTGAATTTTTTCCAAGTGCAGTGCCTGCTGGGTCAAAATGGTAATCAGTCGATTTTAGCGGATTGCATAATTTATGTGACCAACTAAATGCGTTGAAGAGGTGGCTGGGTTCACCGAACGCTTGCAACGCGACTCTGAACACGCGACATTAAAATAAAAAAAAAGTAAAAAATATAAATCATGAGGAAATAAAAGCGCGCGCGATAAGCCCATTATATAAAAATCAAACAATAAGTGTCGAGAATCTGATGTTTCACCATCGCGTAGATTGGGTATTTGCACACCCCACATTCGAGAGCGTTTAAAAACGCGCCAATGCTAGCGATTTCCACTCTGCTCACTGCGAAACCGCGCTCAAAACAAATAAACAAACATAAAGGCAACAGCGAAAAGCCTTGGCCGCACAGTGGGTCAAAGTTGAGGCGGCAAAAGCAGTTCACGGCGAGATAATTTCCACCCCGGGGTTATTTAACTCTTGGTCAGCAAAAATGTAATTTCAGAGGGAAAAATTACGAGAAATTGGAAATCAGATACTTTTTTTTTAATATTGAGTCATATTTATCAAATTTTCTTGAGGGAAATGCTCAATCAGTGAATCATAAGTTTGAGCAGTGAGTGGACAATTAAATGATTGTATTCAGACGGCAGTAAAAGTATTTATGGATTATGATAGCTTAGTGCAAATAAACTCACCATTTTATAAAATGACATTGAAAATATATTAACTCAGTAAACCTTAATAATCTCATCTTTGATATAAGGAAACAATTTCTTCTTCTCCCTTACAAATTATATATTTAACTATTGTGCTTGCTCTTAGGCCAGGAACAATCAACGATTTTTTTTAATATTTACCATTTAACTATTTAACATTTTAATACAATGACATTGAAAATATATCAACTCAGTAACCTAATTAAATTCAGCTTTAATAAATAAAACATTTTACTTCCATTTTATAATTTACCATCTTAATATTATGACATTAAACATATATCAATTCAGTAAACCTTAATAATCTCAGCTTTGATATAAGGAAAGATTTTTTTCTTCTCCCTTGAAAATTCTATATTCAACTTTTGTGCTTGCTCTTAGGTCGGGAACCATCAACCATTTTTTTAATATTTAGCATTTAATTATTAACCAATTTAATATAATGACATTGAAAATATATGAACTTAGTAAACCTATTTAATTTAAGATTTAATAAACAAAAAAATTTGTATTTCCATTTAATAATTTACCATTTTAATATTATGACATTGAAAATATATCAACTCGGTAAACCTTAATAATCTCAGCTTTAATAAACGGAAAAAACTCTTATTGCTCCCTTAAAGATTCTATATCGAACTACCGTGATTGCTCTTAGACCAGAAAAAATCAACCATTTTTTTAATAAGCCCCACTTGATTTCCTCGAGTCAATTGACTATTTTCCCATATGAAAAATCCGCTCTGCCCCACTGTGCCCGCACAATTGTGTTATTGTATTTGCTGGGATTGCGTGTTGCGCAGGTGAGTGTGTCAGTTGCTGTGTCTGTGCGATTACGTCGGAGGGTCAAGGGCAGCTGGTCAGCTGGGCAGTTTTCGGTTTAATTCGCAGTCCGGCAAAATAGCTGCACTCCCCCCTTTTGTTTTTTGGAAATTTACTCGTACCCATTCTTCCTCGAGCGTATCGGCCGAACAGTTATTTTTACGAGGCAGCCATAAAACGGAAACCGTATAGTCGTAGTCGTAGGTGGACGGAGAGCAAAGTCTAGGGGCTCTGGTTTATCAGAAGTTTTATCACGGCCAAGAAAAAAAAACTAAAAAAAAAAAACAGTTGTAAAAACACTGTTTCCGAGCGATTCAACCAACTGTTGCCAGTTCCCCGATAAGAACTGATTACCGCCTGACTAATTGCCGCAAGACCTGTGTTCCCTGTTCTACCCACTTATCAACGCAAGTGCTCGAGTGCTGAAATGCGTGTGTTCGCCTGATTAGACGGCTCTAATTGATTGAAGTCAAATTCCAATCGGGCAAACATACCCTGAAAAGGGTGGGTAAACGCCGGATTTTCAAGGTGCCGAGCGATTCCATGGAAAAGACACTGGTCAAAGATCACACACGGCTTAAGGAAGAGATATAATGCCAAATTACAATACTATGTGACTGACATGATAATCTAGTGTCATGATATGAACAACTAAACACAATCATATATATTTTTTGGGGATTGCATTTTAATCCCCATGCTAATTGAATACATAAATAGTTATTTTAGGTATAGATACCTAGGAATATTCTAAAACAAAAATTTTGAATATTTCCATTAAAAAATTCTTAGGCTAACTTTGCTAAACATAGTACAAACTTTTTTTTTGTAAGTCTATTATAACAACTTTGTATCAAAACCTTGGTAAAGATACCTAGAAATATTTTTTAAAAAAAGTTGTAATATCTCCATTAAATATAGCTTAGACTAACTTTGTAAGTCTTTGTAAGTCTATTATAATTACTTTAGATCATAACTTATTTTAAGTATGTGTATACAATGTATTAAATATCTTTTAAGTAGACTATGTCTTTACCCTATTATAAATTTTTTAGGATTCCAAAATACCTAATATTATTTTATATATACAAATTAAAGACTAATTTGCTATAAAATAAAAAAAACTTAATATAGTTTTAAGAAGATAATAAAACATAGCTTATGTGTTAAGGCTTATTTTAAGGTATACCCCCTCCCAAGGGGGTCTAGAAATTCAGGGTTGATGACCTGCAGTACTCACTGTCGCAGAGACGCCGATATCTGGTTCATGCGGTACCGCTGATGCTTGATCTCATTGAAGCAGATTTGTTGGTGGCTGTGCAGCTGTTCCAGCAGCTCAATGTACCGCCTGTTGCAACTCTGCGATCGGAGGGAATAAAAAAGGGGTAGGAAAGGTATAAGTAAAACCACTCATAACTCGGAACAGCAAAAAATAAAACGGGGTAGGAGCTTCGAAACACCGAAGTTTGAAATACCCTCACATAGCTGGCAACTTCCATGAAATTTTTTAGATAACGTAGTTATAACATTTTCCAAGTTATCTGGCAATATCATTACATACTTATCATAAGACATTTTCATTGATATAAGGTTTTGAAAACTACAGAACGTGTTATAACTTTTCATGACCGTTATAAACAGCCCCATATACCAAAATTTGAGTTCAATAATTTTTGAAATCAGGCGATCAATGTGATCGTTTCTGTTACTGATATCAGACATGATGTTCTTATTGGACCCATTTAGAAAGATAAAACATCCATACAAATTTTGTGACTTTGGCAAACATATTTATACTATGTTTTGAAGTATGAAGTATTATTTCTATGCGAAAAGCAATAATTCTATGATTTGTTTACGTTAAATTTAGGGGAATTCGGATGATGTAAAATAATATCAAATGTTTTTAGTCATGATACACATTTATGACGAAATTTTGGTATAAATTATAAATATTATATTAAATATTGAACTGGCTGAGTAAGTTCCAATACGCACTGGGCGAGGGTATTTATAGGAAAAAAGCAGCTGTTTTTTTTCCAAGGTGAAAGCGACACAGACACGCGCGTGGGTGTGTGTCCGTGTGTCACTTTCTTGTTTTGGAATATTTTGTTTTGATAGTGAACATTTTTATATTTTTTGGGTATTACCACTACGATTTAGATATATTTACCTCCAGTTCTGCATACTCCTTAGTGAGTTCCTCCCACTCGTTTGTCAACGAATCGATATTCATGATTACTGTTTGATTTTGCGGCTTTTCTTGCCGATTTGTCTTGTTTTCACTCTGCTTTTTCTCTGTGTGTTTTTGTTTTGCTATTTCTTCTTGTTGTTGTTATTGTTGTATGCAACAGCTGGCGAGGAAGAGGAAGAAGTTGAGTTTTGAGGTTAGGTTAGGCAAAAAACCGGTGAAAAATCAATTAAATATTATTCTGCGATTTTCCAACAAACAAACACGCACGCACTCACACACAGACACAAACTGACTCGCACACACACACACACACACGTTGCCACGTTGGAAAAGCGAGGAGGCAAAACAAAAATTCAACGGCAATTTGCTTTTTTTTTTGCCAAATACAAAAAAAAACAACACTTGTGCCGCGTTCTCTTGGGATTCGCTTGGAATTTTTTAAAAATAAACTCGTACCCGCGGAGAGGACGCAGAAACCGCACCGCTACCGTCGACTAATATTTTGTTATTAACTATTTCCGCTGCACTTTTGTTTTAAATACTTCGGCCAAATCTAAAGTACACAACATACAAGCGCAAAACAACAAAAACACCCAGACTCAAGCCGCAGAGAGACAAAGTGTGGGAGAGCGGCAAGAGAGAGGCCGCGAACTAGTTCCACAGAAATTACAGGCATATTCAACAATAAATGGGTGGTGATGATCAAATTGATTGCAAAATCTTGACATTTTTTATTATCAAAATGAAATATTAATAACTTTAAAATTAAAAAAAATAATGTGAACAAATATTAAATATTACCTATAAATTATACCAAGAAATGTATGTAAACAAATTAAAACAAACCAAACCAACAAAACAAACCCTAATATATATTATATATATCACTTATTTTCAGCAAGAACAAATTTTAAAGGCTTGAAATTTAAATAACTAGACAATAAAATTATTACTAAAATCAATGCTTAAAAACAATCCATTTTTTGCACTCACCTGATTTAACATAAATACCAAAAATGAATACCTTAATATAACATAAGCAATTTAAATAACCCAATTCATCTTGCGATCGAATGAACCACTTGGAACTATTCACGCGAACCGAATCGTACGGAACCAAAGACCGCCGCTCCAAGCCTTGGAGTCCAAGGTCGTCGAACAAACGAAAATCGGTGGGAGAGGACGGCGAGACTCTCGCTGCGAAAGAGAGAGCTCGCTCGAAACGTGGTGTGGTGAAGGTGAGCGGTGGGTGGTGGGTTAGCGGCGCCAAGGTGAATTTCGTGCGTGTGGGTGACCACAAAGCGCGCGCAATTTGAAAAGTTTGTATTTTTTCAAGTGTTTGGTGTGAGATCTGCTTTGTTTTTGAAGTAGGTATACTGGAATCGGAAGTGAGGGGAGTTGAAGTAAATCCTACGGTTTAAAAATTTCATTTTTAGGTTCATATTCGAAAAGCAGATATTTGGGTAATCTTTGTGCAAACACTCGAACTTGCATATATTAAAGTTAAAAATAAGTAGCCCAATTAGTAAGCTTTTAATTTTATAATTATAATTCGGATTTTTTGAGGATTACCCCTAAGAACTTTTGAAGGTTTCATCTCTTGCCATTATAAGGTGATCCGAATTTGTAAGTTAAGTCTGATCTGATTTGCCGTTCGGTCACCAGAAAACCATCAAATAATGGGTCATAAAATTGACCAAAGTAAAATTTTTGATGGAGATTTCAAGCCATATATCTGTAAAAATTTATTAAAATCGAAACCAAAGTTACATTTCTAGTATAAGTCCCTTTTACTAGAGCTCTTTGCCGAAATAAAAAATATTTTTAATTCAAAAACCCTTACAAAGATTAAAAAATACGGGCTTATAAGTCATACCTTGTTTTTATTGACACAAACTGAATTACAATGGCTTTTGTGGGCGGCAATAAACAATAAACACGATAGTAATAATGGTTTAAAAAAAAGATGAATTAACTAGGGAGCTGTGGGGGCTACTCCTTGCGCCTGGCCCGAAGTCGTAGAGCCAGATAGGCGAATACCCGGAAGCTCACGATGAGGATGGCCAGACCGACGTAATCCAGCGGCAGATCGGCGGCGGAGAAGTTAAGTGTCTCCAGGATGACCTTGCCGGAACTGGGGCACGTTGTGTTCGACGAGGTGCACGTGATCTCGCCCGGCTCCACGTCCGCCCACTGGTTGATGAGGAGGCCCTCGTTGGCGTACCGGAACCATGAGAGATACGACAGCCATTTGAGGTATACCGGCACCGATCCCGAGTTCAAAAAGAAGCCCCCAAACAGCAGGAAGGGTATTATGACCGGCGGACCCACGGACAGGGCCATTGACGTCGAGGAGCTGGCGCAGGATATCAGGTATCCAAAGGACGTGGACACATTGGCCACCAGGGTGACCAGTGCCAGGCAGTTGAGGAAGTGCAGCACTCCGGCCCGCAGGCCAATCATCGGATAGGCAATCGCCGTAAAGACCAAAGGCACCGTGAGAAATAGCGGCAGTTCGGCAATCGTCTTGCCCAGAAAGTAGGTGTCACATCGATAGAGTCGACTCCGGGCTTCCCTCATAAAAACTGGCAGTTCTGAGGTGAACACCTAAACCGAAATCGAGGTAAGATCAACAAAAATTAGTCGAATATTACGAGAGTTTGAAAAGGTGCTTAGCTTAACTTTCCTTAAGGCGTAATCAAAAGTATTTAGTTTAAATGATTAATACATAAATACTTATAGTTAGAAGTCAATCCTACATTTTTCTTAATAGAAAATTAAATTATTTTACAATTGGCCACGTCGTCGATCATGGTAATTAAAAAACGACCCCCGTAAAAGGGTTCTTATAATTCCCAGTTAGCACTAGCAAAAATAGCATGACCTTCGTGCTACAACAGTAGATAAATCAGTTGACCGTAAGATTCCGAAGATGATCTACATAGTTCCAACGATATTATGTCTGTGCATGTGGAGCTCTTACAGGATATAATTGTGGACAGCCCTCAATGACACTTATGACTCTTAAGGTATGTACACTATTCAGGTGTTAACAAATGAAATTAAAATGGTTTAATACGCCATAAGGTAAGCTAAGCTTTATATAAGTTTATAAAAATATGATATTTAATACAGACTCACATTAATCGTGGCAAAGACATTTTGGAAGGTCATGTTGGTCAGGAAGAGGAAGATGGCTCCATTGATATTCATCACGCCCACTTGCGTTAATTGTTGTCCCAAAAAGATGAGGCCAATCAAGATGGCAACCATCTGGAAATCATAGTATTACTTGTATCTTTAAAATCTAGTATTTAAACTAATGTTGTGTGTTTGACAAATTATATTTTATTAAGGCCATTACAAATTTCACTTCATCTACTTGTTGAAAAACGATAAATAAAATGAAATATTGAATTTTTGAGACTTGAAAATAATACTTACAAATAAAATAAATGTTAAATTAATAAAAATAATGTATTTTTGAGAATTGTTTTTAAATTGTGTGTA